GTGCATGGTAATGCAAGTGTGGGGCCAACACAACAAATAGAGGCGGAAATTCTCGGAACATGGAAACCACAGAAATGTTGTTAATGTACGTGGACTCTCGCTCTGAAACGATCGTGTCCAAAACGATCTTCTCTGTATAACGATTATTTTCTGGCCCGTTGAGTTGCGTTGTAGAGAGAGTCCTCCTGTGTTCCATGTGTAAAACGGAAGATGACTTCACTGTATTCCGTTTCACGTCCAGTCCAGAATACAGCTAGATTTAATCTTGACAACGATGTCCTCTTTTATGATGACAATATTTTACTGGTTTCGGGGGCTTTTTTTAAAGTAAAAGTTGCTTTTTTGCGATATTCTCTCTGTAACCATATATTCGTTGGTTCCCTGATGAGTATTGTCGTGGAGTGAGTTTATCTGTATTTTTATCCGGAAGTGATGAACATTTCGTTGTGAAGTGTAAATTTTCGTGAACAAATGACTTGGATAAAATTATTACTTGAGATCCCACGACCTGGCGACTCAGATTCATACTTTTATAATCTTTCATCGTAATTTCCTGGAAAATATTCGCATGCATGGCAAGTGGGAAGTTCATTTGTTTGAATGATAACGTTTAAATTCCCTGTCGATGGGCATGTCATGAGATTTTCTCACACTTTTATTTGCGTTTTCGAAGCATCATTAAATTTCTATAATTTACTACGATTCGTGCTGCATGCATTCTTTTTTCAACCGTGGGCAGTAAATAATTCGGGTTAGTCGGACATCAGCTCCTCCACATTGGGCGTTGAATGAAGCATGAATGACAGACGAGTGGGCGACGGGATTCGTACGCAATTACACCGAGGAAAAATAAAATAAACGAAACATATCCCTGGTCACTAGTCGAAAAGGGTTTTGTTTTTCCTGGCGTAATGACTGGCATTATGTGCCGTTCCCTCCTGGGTTGTGCCACTCTTGCACCGTTTTCCTCTTGTTTCGTCACGATTTGCACCGGTTGGGTTGTGTCGACTCCCCCCCGCACGCTCAGTTGGTTGGTTGGTCGGTCGCACCCCGGCTATTGCCCTGGTTTGTGTACTGTACCCTATGCTCTTGCACCAGGGCTGGTTGTTGGGGGTGGGGGGGAGAGGGAGGAGGGCAGCAGGCACACGCGGGAAAAGCCCGATGCTCCAGGCTCGCTGCTGCTGCTGCTGCCGCCGCCGCCGCTGCTGCTCCTGACTGCAGTGGTTGAGCTGCGGACGGAGCAGTCGACACGGGTTTCCCGGTGGGTGTGCTGTGGCGCAGAATTCCGCTTCGCGGCGCCTTTTTTTTAAATTATTATTATTTTGAATTTTTATTTCATGTGCCGTTCAGTTATTGTTTAGAGGTGGGCGAGAAGGGGGAGGGGGAGGTGAAATTCCGTGAATCTGATGATTGATCGGGGGAAAAGTTAGGTTGAGTTTTTGCTCCCCCGCCGCGTTGCTTGTGATGGTTGGAACTCCTGGTAAGGTTCCTCCACGATTATCCTTACTTTCTTCTTTTTTTTTTGTTGCTAGAAGTGGAGTGGTGTCGAGGAATAATGTTAAAGTTCCTGAAATTCCATGCCTGGCATCCCCCCTGTTGCTGGTCGTTCTGCAGCTACTCATTACGTATTTAATACTTATACAACTTGAACTGAAGTTTTCATGTACAGTATTTATGCTGGATACGGATATGTTGAGGGTTTCTGAATTGTATTACGATATGCGGCTGCACGGTGCACGCATAGCCTGAATAAACTATTGTTTCGTCAAAACTTTTTTGATCCCCGAAAAATATCATTCTACATGGTTTTTATTTTATTTTATCGCCGATTTGAATATGGCTGTGAAGAATTCCTGGAAGTGGAAAATAGTGCGTCGCAGTGACTTCGAATCTTGCTAGGCATGTGAAAGTGGAGTAATCGCAGTAAAATTGAAGTCGTGTACAGTTCTGAGCGAGGGGAAGCAACACTTCTCAATATTTTACATTAGAAAATGTACTGTACAGTATTTGATATTGTTAATTGGGGATTTCCGGTTTCGAATTGTGTTCGTGAATGTGGAAACCTGTTTTTATTCTGTGGTTACGATCAAGTTAAACTGAAGTTTTAATTTTCGGAAAATCCCGCGTTTCTACGTTTTCCTTGCTGCGTCACGGTTATTCTTACACATGCAGACACACCTTGGAAGAGCTGATTCAAATCATGCAACCTGAGTGATGATTTTCATGTTGTGAAAATCTGTTTGATTGATTTGGGAAAAGGTGGAAAATTTTCTACCCCATGCGGCTTACAATTTCGAATGCTCCGTATGCAGTCCCCACTCACAACTTCAGTGGTTCTGTTCGATTAGAATTTCTATGAGTTTACTGGTTCCAATGATGTTTAGATTCCTGAGGTTGATGAAAGAATTCCCGCTTTTTATGCAGCGACACGCCTCCTCGTAATGAAATCGACTAAGTCCTACGCAGAGTCAAGTAAAATGATATTCGCTTTGTAATAAAAAAAAAAAAAAAAACTTGCTGCTCGATTTGACTGGGGAAGGTGGGATTTTCGCTCCCCTGTGTATATTTTTAATGAGCATTCATTTTACTGTCCTTCCCTTCTTTTGTTTAGATGAACTGAAAATTTACTTTTGTGTCTAGGTTCTTACATTTTTCTGCCAATTCACGTCTATTAAAAAGCAGCGAACCATGTCCGAAGAAGTCAGTTTGTGAGCCGTTTAATGTAAGTGTTGGAAGTGATCTTGATATTGAAATGTGATCTGATTGATCCTGGTGGGTGATCTTTTCCTTCTAGATCATATAATCCCCTTCGCTTTTGTATTTCGGATGTACAGTACATGAACTGAATTTATTGTTCTTTTGTTGAATTCATTTTCGGGATCATGCATTTTTTCTTCCGATTCTCGCGTGCTAAGCAGCTGCACGCACCGCCTGAAGAAAATAATTCAAATCGTGCATTCAGTCAAGTAAAATGGCATTTCGGTAGTAACATTAGTATGCTGTGCGTCGGCTCTTTCGGGGAAAAACCCCCAGAGCCATGAACCAACAACCTTCTGAATTTTTTGTCTGCATTTCTTGCCGAAGGCACCGTTGAAATGTTGGTTCAGTCGAGAGAACTCCCGTTTTGCATAGCGAGAAGCCAATGGATCCTATCCTCTTGGGCGAATACTGGGAGATGGCGGATGAGTGAATTTCAACTAATCTAAATAATATGAATTCGAGTGAGGCGACGTCACCCCTTGGGTTTTGCCGAGTACAGTATCTGCCTTGATGAAAATTTCGTCGTGCTCTGAATGTGTCTGTTTAAAGATGATTCGTTAAATTACTCGTCGTTTTGCACGAGATTCAAGTGTTGATCTGGTTATGAGTATGCCGATCGTGATTATTCAAAAGATATGCTAGGGATTTATGTTCCTGCTGTCGAATAAGGAGGAGTCCGATCATCGCATCATTCAGAGGATCATTTTCCTGCCATCTCTAACGTGTTATCTGCTGATTATGCGGAAGGGGTGGGAGAAAGTCAGAAATCGCAAATACCCCTACTGAACGTAATCTGGAAGCAATTTGTTGCCGTACTTGGAACTACTGAGCAAGACATGAGTTAGTTCATCGCCTTGCGAGAAGATTAATGCTGATCGTGCGAAAAGAAAGTTGTAATGAAATACATAAAATATCTCATGAATTCTCGCGTCTTCGGCAATACTTCGTCAAAACTTTCTCTTATTAACCGAACCGTGTCGTTGTATGTAGTCATTATCGTCCGATCGGATGTGACGAATCCGTGGAAGTGAAAAAAGGCGCGCCTCATTAATTTTCGATGTTACTCCTTATTAAGAAAAAAGAGCATTCAAAGCAAAATTATACGATTCATCGGTTCGCTCGCAAGCAGCCCTGGGGATTCTTATTGAACCATGCCTGAGGCTCACGTAGTCGTGGTGCTCGTGATTTATCTTGATGTCCGACTTGATCTGCTTTATTCATTGATGCCCGCCGGAGGTCTTCTTGAGCACTACATGTTATTGAGGCACCACTTTCTTCGGATTGGTACCGCCTAGACTCGTTCGTTTCTTCTGCGTGGGAACGTGCGCCTCTTTTTTTTTCAATTCGTCTAGTGCCGTATTTTCCATAAAATTCATCGGAGTCTTGTTCAAAGAAGCGCAGCAAATCAGTTTTATAGAATTCTAATAGCGCATTCCGGGATTTTTGGCGTTAAAGCTCGTTTGAACAGAACCTTATTATGATGCCGTGCTCACGTTGAGCTCCCAGTTTCACTGCTTAGCTTTGCTCGTTGATGACTTCGCAGCTTTGGTGAGATGAATAGAGGGAGTTGAAGGGAGTATTGAGAAACGAGTTTGTGATGAATGGTCGAGTTCTCGTTGTCTGAAATGCTTTGAGAAAGTGGAAGCAATTGACGCATTGAAATGTATGTTCAACGAAACGTGTCTTGCGTAGGAATAAGATTTCTAGAGCTATACCTCAGGGTATTTTTCGCCTTTTTCCGCCCACCATTTCACGAAACTTGAAGGTCGACACTTTAGGGAACTCTAGCTCGAAGTCCGGAAGCTGCTGTATATTGTATTGAGTTTAAAATTGTAGTGATCCGCTATTCAAGCGATCTTTTTTCTGAAACGAAAAATAAGCGCTTTGGATTGAGTACGGTGATGTCAACGGAGAACTGAGCTGGGAAGAGCTGCTGCTCCAACGCGGAAAATAAGATGTGTTCAGGTGGAATTAAGGTGCATTGAGAAGGCTCATGCTTCGTTCGGGATGAAGTCGCTGAGCTCTACTTTTTCTTTCATGTATCTATTACCTTCACGTATCGTTGTTCTTGAAGACGAAGAAGAAGAAGATAGAGGCGAATCCGCGTGTGACCTTTTACGCCTGCCCCAGTGTGTGAGTGAGTGTCTGTGCGTGTATGTGGCATTGTTCTCGCGATTAAGATTTGATGCTCGGCCATTGCGACTGTAGTCCGAAATCCCCGGGGTACTCATGGCAGTGAGATGTACAAGTACAAGCAATTTTCCGGGTTTTATTTCACCAAGGGTCAACGGTCGGGCAGCAGCGAGAGGTGAAAACTTCGTGTAGGCCGTTCTGGACCGTCTCAGTTTATTTTTTTTTTACGTTTTCTAATTTATCTTTGTTTGAAGAAAAGATTCCACTGGGTTTTTTTCCGAGCACATTTTGTCTTTGTGCGCAGAACACGGGAGACATATTTTTACATTTGCCACGTTATGAGTTTCGTAATACCGCAGAATCGTTAAAACACAGATTATCTTGAGAAGATAATTTTTTCTGGTTAGAAGTTGAAAAAAAGTATAGCAAAATTGTGTCATTTTCCTGACAGAGCTGGTGCTATTCATTGTTGCAATCTTCATTTCTAGAAGAGCAGTTTTTGAGTAAGGTGATATTGAAAACATTCGTTACACTGTAGCGATAATAATCTTCCCTACTTCATAATGAAAATTAACAGAATTTTGCGAGCTTAATGGTTGGATATGTCAAATTGAGCTTTTTTTTTAGCTTTCACAAAATTGAATCTTCCTCGTGATTTTTTGTTGTTGCTCAAGTTCTCCGTTATCTAGAATTCTAGACTCCAGATTAAAAGATGTATTGAAATATTCTTTGAAGTTTCTGGCTTTTCTTACCTTAAAGATGTGTCGAAGTCCTCGTGGAATACTGCACTATGCAGTATTTCAAAGTGCGAGTTCAATTGTTGACATGGAAAACGTCTGGTTCCATCAACTGGATTAAATAAACTTTGAAATTTGTACCGAAAACTTCGCTGGGAATTGCTATCCTAAAGTTTGTTTCGAATACCGTTGTGCTGTATTATACTTTCGTTGATAAATACTGTATCAGAAAACTGCTTCTTGGTGCGTTTTCTTTGTAGGAGTTAGCATGGGCTTATCGCAATGAATCTGCATAATGTCGACTAACGTGGAGTGAGCCTCTGGCTTATCGCATTTTTTTATATGAGGTATGACCACGATTATGTTGAGAGCCATAGGTTCATTTTTCTTCTTTCCCTTGAAAACTTGGAAATGCAAAAGAAAAATTAATTCTAAAAATACCCATTGAAAAAATTAAGGCTGTGCGAGGTGGAGAAATAATGCCTGATAAGAAACCGAGTGTACATACTCTTAATGCTTGCAAAAATGTGATAATGTGGCTACGTCAAACGTATTTTCGTTATTCCACGAAATACCCAATTAAAGCTGGGTTCACAATACTTACGGGTTTTTGTCGCCTTGGTCGTGTCGAAAATGTTTCTGCTGCATTACGTGGGAGATTCAAGAGCAGGGCTTTTATGAACGAGACTTGTGTCACGTCATGTATTCTACGTGGCACTAATTGCATTTCTCGCTTACCCGTGAACGTCGAACTTTTTTATTCCTTTGTCCTTTATGTCCTGAAAAATAATTTTCATTACTCGTGTTGCAATTTTTTCAGTCCCGACAAGAAGTAACAATGAAATTCGTATGTAAATTTTTGAAAATGCAGTACTGTACTTTCTTCCTGCGTCAGGGGTTTTATTCGCGTCGTGTTCGCGAATTTTTGGCGTGTTTATCGGCCTTTTTTTTTGCCCTTCTTGTTCTATCTTGATTGTGTCGGCGAGCGTCTATTCCAGTTGTGGGGTCCATTTAATATCTCTCCGCGAAGGCTGTTTGTTCGCGGATATAGCACGCACTTGTTGATCCCTTGTGCTCGTTTTTGATTCGGTGCTTGACCTGGTTCTCTTCATTCTCTTGTGATACGTGCAGCCCCGAGGAACAGCAGCAGCAGTTGAGTGCGAGTGCCGCCCATGACGACATTTCGATGCTGTCGTCGTCGTTGTCCGCGTCAGCCTCGGGATCTTCCCATCGGGAAAATAAGGTACGTGCTCTCTCTCTCTCATCTCCGTGTTCTCCCGAATAACGGTGAACTTCTTTGTATGCATATTTTTTCCGCTTGTTTCGTCAAATTTCTCGAAGCGTGTGCGAGGGATAAATCAGAAGTTTTGTGTGTAACTTCGCGGCGAAATTCTGTGGGTACCACCACCACGTTGCTGAGTCGGATTCGTCCGAAGTTACTTCGTGATCAAGGTTTGAAGAGGAAATCGGTTCTGTTGCGAAACATTTTTATTAAATTTTAGCCATTTTTTCATCGCAACATGATTGTCGCATCAGGAACAATTTCACGATAGAAATGTTTAAACTTTTTAAGTATTTCGTAGCGCTTTGACTGCGCTGACAGACTACTGTACCTTGAAAGTGTCTAAGGTACAGCGTATCTCCTCGCACTGCCTGCCTTCTCTCTGTTTCACCCTTGATCATTAAAAATTGGGACAGCGATGAGATGAGGAAATCATAGTTAGTACTGTAGTGGGTCAAACCCTATCTTTCGAGGAAGGCTACACTAAAGAAAAGAGATAGATTAAATTCATATTCGTAAAGAGATCGACAAAATTTGTAATGCAGCCCTTACGGTTTCCCCTGCCGCCATTTTAATATGCATATTGAGCCCCGAATTGATCGTCGGCGCCAGAAGTGTTCACCGGAACAGAGCAATACAGTGTTGAAGTTTTCACGATTCAGGGGCATCTTTCTCGGTCTCGAAATTTAATGCGTTTATTTCGTAAATTTCTTCAATTACTGTATCTAATTTTTCCTACAAAGATTTGACAAAAATTTTCGTGGTTTCTGGGTAGAAGAGTACTTGAATACACGCGTGAGACAGACTCTTGTACTGTATTAGAAAAACTTTCTGAATAATTTACCAGTTCGGTCGATGAATCCCTCAACTTTTTTCCGCTCTGAGAATATTTTCAGCTTGGCTTACGAATCTCGCAAGATTCAATGATTTCTTTTTGCCGTGATGAATACACGGCGTTGATTTTTAATGAGCGAAGTTCTGGGTCTCCTTGATGTATTCAGGCATTGATTGAGCTACCCGGAAAATTACCGATGGTACGATCGGTCATAATTAGAAGGAGGAAGTGACAGCTTCGTTCCGATGACTTGCAAAGTTACCATTGACCTTCCCTGGTGCGCGAGATTGATCTTCTCAATCAATCAGGGACGAAATCTTTTTTTCTTCTGGCAACACCGCGTGGTGTCGAAGCCCCTATTCAATTTTTTCCTCATTATGTGCCCGAATACCTCTTTTCCTTGGAATATGTCACCATATTTTATTTTGATATTGACTGACGGAAAAATGCAGGGTGCATTTGAAATTTGAATACGAAATGCGCTTTCGTTTCGGTTTAAAATGTGCACCCATACAAATGATCGTCTCGGTGACTCGACAAACATCGCCGAACAACTGAAAATAATTTGAAAAAAGTGATGAAAACCGTGTACTGGACAGTTCAGAACATTGGCAATTGAGCAAACATCTGACACATTTTTCACATTATTGTCAAAGAGGCGCGATGAGTATCGTGTATTACAGCCTGTGTGATTAATTTACTCAACAAAATCTTGTTATTTTAATTGATGAAATCTTTTGTCAATTTGAGTCCAATGTGTTCTGAGGAGACACAGAAGTCTTGTCGGGTTACGTGAACCTTGCGGAAATGTCGCATCAACTAGAAAGAGCTATGGTAGAATGTAAAATTCTTTTCAATTTTTATGCAGGTAGTAATTTGGATTAACTCATGTTTCGTTTCAAGATTTGTGGAAATTTAATTACAATTAAGCCTAATCTTTTCTTCATTGAGCAAACTTGTCAATTCTTTCGGCGAAGACACCCGGCCTTGAATATCTGACTTTCTGTATTTCAAGTTCGAATAGTATGTGCACATTTTATTCCGCTCTGTACAGATGAGTTTCTGGTGTGTTTAATCAATCAAGTGTCGAAGTTTTTGAATCACCAGGAAAATGTACCGTAATTCATTTAGTTTTTTGGGCTGAATATTAAAACGAGTCTTGTATATCCGCCGCATCTTTTACGCGCGCGAATATTTTTTTACAAGGACAACGCTTGAGCGTGGAGCCTGTTTTCCCGACGTTATGTTTTTTTTTTTTTTTAGCGTCAATAGGAATGCCTAATTACCCCAGAAGCTTCTTGAAAACGTCATGATTTTCTCCCCCGCTTTATTGTGCAGGACATGTCGTCGCGTGACGTGCTTCTGGGTCATCAGTCCCCCAGACTTCCCCGTGGAACGCGTTACCCATCTTATCGATCCGTGGTCCCCACGAGGGGGTGGAAAGAATATTTTTTCACGAATTTGCAGCCGGGTTGGATTGTGTTGGGAGCAGGTGTAGCTAGCTACCGACTGGGTTTTGAAAAGGGGGATTCGTCCGGCTTGAAGCCTAAGGTCGTTCGTGTTGGAAAAGCTTTGAGGAACGGAATCGCATGCATTTGTGTGTAATCCTATACGTGCTTCATTCGGATGTAAAAGATCACAACGGGATGATCCCCCCGGATTGTTACGGGACGAGCGAGAAGCTTTCAGCGGCGGAAACAAATTGATTCGTTAACCTTTGAAGTAGAATAACACGCTTGGGTTATCATCACGGAGTGGTGTTCAGTCGTCTGAAAATATTGATTTTATCTTATATTGTTTTTCTCTTGAAGTTTTGGTCGTATTCGAGTTGTCTTGTGCTGTACAAGCTGTCCGCATTTCAAGTCGAAGACAACGCCTCAAACTAGATTTGAACAACGAATTCGCCTCGTTTGCGTTTCGCGCATTATAATTTGTATGCAGAAAACTTCTGTAACGAATGCGTAACGGGGATTTACGAAATTATATCCCGGTTGTTGTGTTGCTCGAATTTTAGTCTGTCGATTCAATGTCGCCTTTCCCGGGGAAGGTACAAATTATCACCGTTGTTTTACTGTCGAGACAATGTACCCTAAATGTGCGTGTTTTCATTCCGAGTTTCGTTTCTATCAGCAGTTGCGCAGATTTTTGTGTTGCTTGCATTTTTTTCGTGAAATTCGTTTTGCTTTTCAAATATTTCCCGATTATATCTCTCCCTTGGAAATCGGCTCTTTATTATTCCGACGTCAAATAGTGCTCTGATCTTTGCTGCTCAATTTAAATTTTTAATTGAACATTATTCTGTGAATCAATTTCGGCTTTTGCTTGAAGCAGATTGCTATGACTATTTGTCCCTTCTTCCCGATTTTTCGATTAGTGCATATTGTCGAAATTTTAACCAGTGAATTTTGCTTTTATACTAAGTCCGAAATCGGCGGAAATAGTTTGTTTACCTGAATTTTTCATCAACTGTGGTGCAATTATTTTGCTGATTTTAATTTGATGAAAGTTTTCAATTGATTCATTATTCCCGTCTCGTGTACCGGACAACGAAATCAGCCTGCCAGAAGGATATTTTTATGTTTCCAATATTTCTTCCATCAACTGTTGCGCCTATCCTGGCGCTGCTTATCGAAGTGCGATGTTGCTGACCGAAGAAAAAAGGGAGCTTGGAACATTCTAGGCGACTTTTTTGTTGTTGAGTAAATCACATCCAACAGGGAGGGGAGACCAGATGCAACAGTGGAAGTTCCGATGGCAGCCGTATTATACTAAATCTGGGATATAAGAAAGTTTGGACAGCTGCCGGGCGAAATCCTCTGGAGAATATTTTTCCTCCCTTTCTACTACGCCTTGTTCGAGTATCTCTTGTGTCTCCGCTGAGAGTTTTATACCAAGGAGCAGAAATCCCTGCTGGAGACGGGAGGCAAGTTCTTTTTGCACTCCCGGTGATTTTCCTGTGGCGTGAATTTATTCCACAGGTCTGCTTTTTTTTTACGATCTAGATGTGTTGTTTTTGACGTGTGAGATATACTGTATATATATATTTTTTTTTTTTCATAATGGTTGGCGAGTGTTGAAATGGAATAACATTCTTCCAGGCGATCGAGGGCGGGGTAAATGGTTTTTTTGTTATTGTTTGCCATGATTGAAGCCCACAAATGTCAGGAGGAAAATTTTCTGTTCAGCCTTGAAACAGCGGGGTTTGTTTTTGTCGGATTTTTTGTTATTTTTTCGATTTCTGAAGATTGCGTCGATGAAGAGATGGATGAAGAAGATTGCGAGTCGACCTATTAATATTTTACGATGGTGATTCTAAATGAGACAGGGGGATTTTGCCTAGCAATTTCGCTTGCGGAGGGAAGCGGTTTATGTGCAAATTCAAACGTCTTGCGAATATGCGTTTCCAATGCAGCATTGGGAGATGGAGAAAGGTCCAGTGGGTTTGATATCCTTTTTTTTTTTGAAAAGCTGTGGAATTATTTCATGGTTTATTGAGTGATGCAGGAATCGCCGTTCGTCGCCGTCGGGAAATTCCGTCGTGGTTGTCCCCGTTAGAAAATTTCCATTACCCATGAGGCTCATGAGGTCGGATGTGAAAGTGATTATCCTTCAAGCGGAGATTGGAAATAATCTTTTACAACTCTTGCAAGCTCGTATGGTGATTTACATCTAATAACATGATCCTGTTGACTACATAAAGAACATAATTTTCGATTAGTTTCAGTGTCGAAATGATTCTTGGTAAGGTTATCCCATTTCAAGATTTATTGTTGGCAAGATATTGTGGATAATTGAATGGAATGACCAAAATAAGAAAATATTTGAACCTTCAGATCATTGATACCGTTCTTGTTTTTTTTCAAAGACCTGCTTATTTGCATCGTTTTCAATCAAATTTTTTGAACGCTTCAAACTCTCGCTGTTTTGAGGCGCCCAGTTTTTGCCGAAGACATAGGAGGATGCATATTCGCAGAATTGTTGCTTTCCTGAAAACGCCGGTTGGAATTTTAGTAAGATTAGTTTCGCCAAAGACGTTTCCCTGTTGAGGACATTCTCGAGTGTCTCGGTGTAATTTTCATCACTTGGAGAAATATGCTGTAAATTTCCGCATACTGTGCAGGAGTTTGATTTTTATAGCAGAAAAAGGCTTTCTGTTGATCGGAATTCGCAATTACGCGCTCAAATTTTTTTTACCTTTCCCGTTTTTTCACGGGATGATGAATACCTGTAATCGTATCGCATTCCTTGTGGATTTTTGTGAACTCAGAAGAAAAAGCGTCACAGTCAGTCGCATTTCGGAGTTCTTTGATTTGAGCGAAGGATGCAAGGAGTGGCTCGCTGGCAGAGACGGAAAGACAAATGGGTTCGATGGGGATGAAGGAGTGCCGGGCAGGTCAAGTGGCTATTACCCCTGGCTTTTGTTTTCCTTTCGTATAACACAGCGGAACGTTCTCTGTGACCTGTGGTCGGCTCATTTCTCCGTTCCTGGTCCCTCACGAAACCGTGGTTTTTCGGTTGCTTTGTGATGAAAGCTCGGGGGCAACGAATTATTCCGTGATTACCGACTTACGCTGGGAAGATGGATGAGGTTCTGTGCAGTTTTTAGGTCATTCTCCTGGAAATCCGGCAATTATCTTGAATCCGGGTTGAAATTTAAAATTCTATGTTGAACTATCGCGTTACCTCTGGTTCCTCTGAAATTTTCACCGTAGTTGCTCACGGTCTTCTGTTTTATTTTTGTTTAAAAATATACTCGTGATATTTGAAGAGAAAAAACCTTTATGCTAGTTTTAATGTTTTCGTGTTCACTCAATTCGCATTCTTGTGTCTCCGTAAATCCTGGGGCAAGCTTGGCAATGATTTATTAAATTTCCGTATTCGATTTATTCAACGAGGGGGTGGTGCCTAAGCGACCAACAGAAATTTATCGACAGCGATTTTTCTATCAGGAAGTTACGAATCAATCACATCACCTCGCCCTGGAAAGATGCTGTTTTACGTACTGTCCACTAATTTTAATGCATTTATTCCGACGTGAAATTCAACTACAGAATCGAAGTAAGAAAGATTAATATTTTAGCACAGTATTGCATTCATGGGGAAGATCTTTTTATGCCTCAGCGTTTGCACCGGGATTTTTAAAAACAGTTTCGGGAGTTATACCAAGGTTTGAAGCGGACAGTATCTTGATTTGGCTGAAGTTATCGGGCAGTTTCTTCCTGACCTGTGGAAATTGAATGGTACCTTTCGAATTGAGTATCATTGACGTCACAATTATGAGATCAAAATTTTCCCCGTGAACACATGTTGCAAGACCATCATTATCCAGGAAATGCCTATTATTCATTTTGAAGAGTTGGACCACTTTCAAATTCACGAAGGGTTTGATCCTCGGATCATCCATCCCTCGTACGTATTTCCTCGCGCGTTTCCATAATTTTACGTGCTTCTTTCATTGATCATACGCCTGGTAACTTTAAAAATGGTTACAGTCCCACTGACCAGATGCTATCCTGTTTCCCTGGTGACGTCAACGCTGATCGAGCTCTCAGCCAATTGCAAACTCCTATATACAAAGGGTTGCTCGCTTTTTGAAAGGGGTGACAGGCAGCCCCCATCCCTGAGGACTGATATGAAATTTTTTATCAAGTTACTCTAAAGACACGTGCGATGGGTGAATGGAGTTTCTGGGTGGAAACAATTTTTTGATATTGATCGAGTCGAACAAAGGGGGTCCATGGTCGCGTGTGGCGTCGAGCCCATGTGCAAAATCAATGCGTTTTGTACTAGTTTTCATTTTTAATGATTAAAACTTCACATGTACACGTGGACTGTTTATACGGAGGGATTATGAGATTCATTGCCGAGCTGGTCGTGTCGTAGGCCTATTTGACGTTGACGGGGAAGTTCTTGGAATATTTCCGCAATAAATATTTCAGAACCTCATAGGGTTCAGATTGAGTAACGCATTATGCAGGGTTTCCGTGATAATGCGAATGTACTGAACTGTACTTCGATTGATCTAGCTGCGAGCGAAACCCGAGTTTCGGCCTTGAAAATATAAATCTAACTTCTGAGGGTATTCTGTGGTTTTGTGAAAATGGATTGATCCTTTGAAACATTCAGGGTTTAAACATTACTGATTCGCAATATGAATGAAAACTACATTAATTTGAAGAAGAAACGCTTTGAACTGTTATTAGAATGTTGTTTCTAGGTGTGCAGAATTAACCAAACGCTTGAGAAATCTTGTTCACCGATTCGTCTTTATTTTATTCATTTATTTTTCAAAACAAAAGCAATTCAGGAATAATCATTGCATGAACTATGAAGTTCTAGGTTTCTGCATGACGGGATGAAACCGTTTCTCGAAACACTTCACATTACTCCATCGCTAAAATTTCGATAATGTCTGTAATAAAATGTTACCTTCTGATCAATTTCTTTCTGTATAGATGAACGTCTACGAGTGGGTGATTTTTTGCGGAAAAAAATTTGACGTACCACTAATTTCTCATTGAAGAAAACCTTTTTTAAATTGGTTAGTCGAACGACTCACGTCTTTTCCACACTTGAAAAGTATGAAGCCGATTGGAGCAATAATTTACATAAACTTTAATACGGTATGTTGAAACCTTTTTTGCCTTGTACTGTATTACGATGTAAGTTGAACGATTTCGTGGATGCGCGTCATCCTGCTGGTGGTGTTGTTGCACTAGGAAGTCCTTCTGAGGTTGCGTGGATTGATTCATTAATTATTTGGTCGTGACTTTTCCATTTTGTATGAACATTCTTTTTCTTGTTCACTTGTGATGTTACCTACTACTCACCGAGGTGCGTTTTTCCCATCCACCGTCTCACTTCTGGCCCCCCTCGGCACGTGGAT